ATATTTTTATATATATATATATATATATATATATATATATATATATATATATATATATATATATATATATATATATATATTGATTTAGAATTATTTGTTTTTAAAAGACGGAACACTTCTCAAAATTTATTAAAAATTTATATCTTAATGGTTATATAATGGAAAGTAACTATTATTGTGTATTGAAATAATTAATATTTGCATAATTAAGAGTTAAAAAAACTAAACAAACTGAAATTTTACAATTATTGAAACTAAAAAAATACAGTTCAAATTCTATTAAAATTTTATGATTGATTATTGAATTTTTTTCTTTCTATATATTTATTTGGTAATAATAATTATAGAATTAAAAAGTAATGCTCAGACAATATAAAATAATTTTACATAATCATCCAATAAAATTTTATTATTTAATTATGTCATATAACTTATTTAAAAATAACAGTATGATTTAATATTTAATATAATTGTAATTGGTTGGCAGTAAATATTATTTTACATTGTTAGTGTATATATTTTATTTTCAAAATATGTGAAACCCATTGATCACTTAATATAATTATTTTCAATTAAAATTTTAATATCAATTTTCTAGTTTATAAAAGTCTAAACCCACATTTAGACCTAACCTTGTTTTTAATATTGAGATGATTTAATTATAATTTATTGATGCTATTTATTTAATTCATAATGATATCTCTAATCATAACTCATTACCCATGTGTTATTATTTCCCAATGACATCATATACTCCTCTAATTCCACATTACACCTCACCTTTACACTATATATACCCTTTCCCTCTCCACTCCTAAATTCAAACAAACAAAACCTCACCTCATTCTCTTCTCACAATTCACATTCCATTTCTCAAAATCTTTAACCACAACAAACACAAAAATGCACAACATTAGTCTAAACATGCCACCAATGGTTCAAACATTCGACCCCGAACACATATTCAAAAACCGTTGCATTTGGGTGAATGGACCTGTAATAGTTGGTGCTGGTCCTTCAGGCTTAGCAGTTGCAGCTTGCCTAAAAGACCAAAACGTCCCTTTCGTCATCGTCGAACGCGCTAACTGCATTGCTTCTCTCTGGCAGAATCGAACCTACGACCGTCTTAAACTTCACCTTCCTAAACAATTATGTCAACTACCCAATCTCCCTATCCCGGATGATTTCCCTGAATAACCAACAAAATTTCAGTTCATCAACTACCTCGAATCGTATGCGAAACACTTCAACATAAAACCGAATTTCAATGAAACAGTGCAGTCTGCTAAGTATGATGAAATCTTCGGTCTTTGGAGGATTAAGACTATTAGGAAAAAAAGCGATGAATTTGTAGAAGTTGAGTATATTTGTAGGTGGCTTGTTGTTGCTACGGGCGAAAACGCGGAGAAAGTTGTTCCCGAGTTTGAAGGTTTGAATGATTTTGGTGGACATGTTATGCATGCTTGTGATTATAAATCTGGTGAAGGTTATAGTGGAAAGAAAGTTCTTGTTGTCGGGTGCGGAAATTCGGGCATGGAAGTTTCTCTTGATCTTTGTAACCATAATGCAAATCCATCAATGGTTATAAGAAGCTCCGTAAGTACTCGAAAATGATACTTTTTAAGGTTATAGATTCTGAATTTACTGATCTTTTTGTAATTTTGATCACAGGTTCATGTGTTGCCAAGGGAAGTGTTTGGAAAATCAACTTATGAGTTAGCAGCTATATTGATGAAAAAGTTACCAATTTGGATGGTTGATAAGATATTGCTTCTTCTCACTCGTTTGATTTTGGGGAATGTTGAAAAGTATGGTGTTAAACGGCCATGTATGGGACCTTTAGAGCTTAAGAACATTTTCGGGAGGACACCAGTTTTAGATATTGGCGCACTCGAGAAAATTAGATCTGGAAAAATCAATGTTGTTCCCGGAATTAAGAGATTTTCGCAAGGGAAAGTCGAACTCGTGAATGGAAATTTTCTTGATATCGATTCCGTTGTTCTTGCTACCGGGTATAGAAGCAATGTACCTTCATGGCTTAAGGTTCGTTAGTTTAGTTTGTTATTATTATAAATAAATTTTTAGTTATGTTATTCATTTAACAAATTATGTATCTGAATTATCTTTATATTGATGTATCTGATCTATATATAGGAGAATGAATTTTTTTCGGATGATGGAATACCGAAAGATCCATTTCCGAATGGATGGAAAGGAAAAGCTGGTTTGTATGCAGTTGGATTTACAAGAAAAGGACTTTCTGGTGCATCATTGGATGCCATTAGTGTATCTCATGACATTGCTAAAAGTGTGAGAGAAGAAACAAAACAGAGAAAAAAAACAGTGGCTGCACGTCATAGGAGATGCATTTCACATTTCTAATTAAGAAAACATCTTTATTATGGTTTTGTTTAGCTTATTTTGCTTTTGGCAAAAGTTAGCATATACAAAAAAATAATGTAGAGTTTTTTCAATACAATTATAGCACACAAAAAATTAGCCCTCTCCTAAAAAAATGATTAGATTGTTTAATAATAATTTGGATTTTTTTGTATAAAGGATGATGAGGCTTATTTGATTGATTGATTGTGTTTATTTTTATGTTGTAAGGAATATATTGTTTCACACTCTAATGATAGTGTGTATTGTATTAAAAATTTCATGTTTTATTAATGAAGTCAAAGCTCTTTCTCTTCTATAATCTGATTAATTTATTTTTGGTCAAAGGCTCAATGTTAATCCTAAGGGCAAGTTCAAGGTTATGTGCTTCAAAAAAAATTACAATAAATGTTGACATTGAAGTTGGAAGGAAACAAATTTATGAAGCTTATATATTCCCATGTTGTATATCACATGGAGAGATTCTGATTTTATAAGAAAATAAATATTAGATTCTTTGGTGCTATGGATAGGAACAAAATTGAAAAGAAAAGAGACAATTTTACTCTTTTATGATATAGAACGATTTTGCTTTGCATATGGTTTTTTATAATAACTAATTATTGTCTGATTTTAAAAAGATAATCATAAATACAAATCATATCAAGAAAGATGATGATGAAAAATTGAGAGATGACGAAAGAATAAGTAAGAGATGATAAATACTTTCGTAAAAAAAAAATTACTCTTATTAAGTATTGAAATTACAGTGAAACAAGCTTGCTTCCATTGAAGAAGCAAGAGGAAGAGGATGAAGATCTAACTGAAAACAGTTATGCATAACAAACTTGCAATGTAATTGTAAAGGCCAAGATTATTATTCACTGTGTTGAATACAAAAGAATGATACAAGAGTTTATATAATGTATTCTAACAACTAATCTAAGTTGTACAAGTGGCAGTCATCTAAGCTACATAGAAAGCAATAGTGTAGATAAATATAGTGAGCTAATATCCCCCCTCAAGTTGGGCTGTGGATACTGCAGAGCCCTAACTTGATCAAGATCCTAGAGAGAGCAGGAAAATACAGAGGTTTTGTAAACATGTCTGCTAGTTGATGTGAAGTGGAGATAGGAAAGAGATGAAGTAGCTTAGATTGAATTTTCTCTCTGATTACATGACAATCCAGTTCTATATGTTTGCTTCTTTCATGAAAAGCTAGATTATGTGCCAAGTAAATGGCAGATTTACTATCACAGAATACTGCAGCCGTCTGTGGAAGTTGAATTTGAAAATCTTGCAATATGTATTGTAACCATTGCAGTTCACATGACAAAGAGGCCAATGCTCTATATTCAGCCTCAGTAGAAGACCTGGAAACAGTTTTCTGTTTCTTGGACTTCCAACAAACAAGAGAGGAACCAATGAGGATACAAAAACCTGTGACTGATCTTCTTGTGTCTGGGCATCTGGCCCAATCAGAGTCAGCAAAAGCAGAAATTTTGAGAGGACTTGAAGCAGAGTAAAAGAGACCCTTGGCTGGTACTGACTTGAGATATCTGAGGATTCTAATTGCAGCCTGGTAATGAGGCATAAGAGGATTGGAAACATACTGACTGAGATGTTGGACTGCATAGAATATGTCAGGCCTGGAGTTGGTAAGATAGATTAATCTGCCAATTAATCTTCTGTAGATGGAGGGATCCTCTAATTGTTGTCCTTCAGTGATTGAGAGTTTGATTGTAGGATCAAATGGAACTGAAGATGGCTTAGAAGCTAGCAAGCCACTATCCTCAAGAAGCTCCAAGGTGTACTTCCTCTGATTAAGAAAAATGCCATCAGTGGTTCTAGCAATCTCAAAACCAAGAAAGAACCTTAACTGACCAAGATCTTTGATTTTGAAAGACCGATGAAGTAACTGCTTGACATGAGAAATTTCTGATGTAGATGTACCTGCCAAGACAATATCATCTACATAGACCAACAAAGCAGTAAAATCAGATGATGTAACTTTAACATAAAGAGAGTGATCAGCCTTGGATTGTTGATAGCCTATGGTGATAAGGAATGAAGAAAGTTTGGAATACCATTGCCTGCTGGCCTGTTTTAGACCATAAAGTGACTTATGCAATCTACAAACTTTAGAGGGATTAGAAGAAGGGAAGCCAGGAGGGAGAGTCATGTATACCTCCTCATGAAGATCTCCATGAAGGAAGGCATTGTTCACATCTAGTTGCTCCAAATGCCAACCCTTGATGGCTGCTAAAGAAAGAAGGATCCTGACAGTAGCAAGCTTAGCTACAGGGGAGAAAGTGTCAAAGTAGTCTATCCCTTCTAATTGAGTATACCCTTTTGCTACCAAACGAGCCTTATGCCTCTCAATGGTTCCATCAGCCCTATATTTAACTTTATAAACCCATCTACAACCAATAGGATTTTTGCCATGAGGAAGGTCAACAACTTGCCATGTATTGTTCTCAGCAAGAGCCTGTAACTCAGTCTCCATGGCATGCTTCCAACAATCATGCTTTATGGCTTGGGTATAGGTCTTTGGTTCAATGTTAGAGGAGATGGAGCAACAGAAATGTTTATATGATGGAGAACATTTGTCATATGAAATAACAGATGATAAAGGATGAGCAATATTATGTTCATGAGATTGAGATGCAAGTGTATCATGAGATGCAAGATAGCAATGATAGTCTGCTAAGTAACTAGGAGGATGAGCAATCCTGGTGGATTGTCTTAAAGGTAAAGAGGGGGAAGAAGGTATATGTTGCGTAATAGAATCAGATGAGGTATTAGGTGAATTAGCAGATATAGGAATAGAGGAAGATCTGTTGGATAAGGAAGGGTTTTGATGTGGAGAATTATTGGTAGGTAAGGGAATGGATAAGGATCCAATGGTTAAAGGAGAAGAAGGAGTAGTAGGACTGATAGGGCTATGTAAAGTAGGAGATAAAGGTTGGATAGGGACACAATGTGGGCTATCAGAAGAATCATTTATGAATGAAAGAGACAAGTCAGTTGTACTACTTGGAGAAACTGTAGCAGGTATGTCATCATAATGTGAAAAAGGAGCAGTGTTGTCATTAGCATTAACTGAGGTATGTGGCTGTAAAGTGTGTTTGAAAGGGAATTGATGTTCATAAAAGATAACATTTCTTGACACAAACACATTATGGTTTTGTAAATCATAAAGGATGTATCCTTTAGTACCATCTTTAAAACCAATGAAAACAAATTTCCTGGGCCTAGGTGAGAATTTTGTTCGATGGGCTTGGAGAGTGGTAGCATAGCTAAGACAACCAAAAACTTTTAAGTGGATTAAAGAAGGAGGCTGAGAGTAAAGTAATTCATATGGAGTTTTAGATTTTAAAAGGGGTGAAGGAAGTCTATTGATAACATGGATGGCATGTTGAACTGAAAAATTCCACATGGTGAGAGGGATGTTAGAGTGAAAATATAAGGACCTAGCAACATTAAGAATGTGCTGATGTTTCCTTTCAACCACCCCATTTTGTTGGGGTGTTTCAACACAAGTGGTTTGATGGATAATGCCCTTTGATAAGAAAAACTGAGACAAGGCCATAAACTCAGAACCATTATCAGACCTAAGACATTTAAGAGATGTTTTGAATTGATTTTCTATGTATGCCACAAATTGAATAAGACTGGTTTTAGTCTGATCTTTGGTTTTTAGGAAGATCACCCAAGTATATCTACTATAATCATCAACCAATGTGAGAAAATATTTGTGACCTAGCATAGAAATTGTGGAATAGGGGCCCCATACATCAACATGCAATATATCAAAAGGAGATAGAGAATGAGATTTACTATTTGGAAAAGGTAACTTCCTTTGTTTTCCAAAATGACATGAATCACATGGAACATTATTAGGTTTACATGGTATAAAAGGAAACAAATGAGAAATAGATTTCATGCCTGTAGTAGAAAGGTGGCCTAATCTTAGATGCCACAAATTACATGAATCAGAAGTAGTAGAAGTAGAATTACAAACAGATGATTGGCTGGAAGAGTCCATGACATATAGACCTCTTTGAAGCCTAGTTGTACCAATCATTGCCTGTGAATGATTCTGCATTATGGTGCATACATCAGCCCCAAAATGTACAGAACAATCATTACTACTAGCTAGCTTGGCAATAGAGATAAGGTTAACATGAAAGTTTGGGATATAGAGAACATGGTGTAGTGTTAAGGATGGTGAAATGATAACACTACCAGACATACATGCAGTAAGAGATGAGCCATCAGGTAAATTAACATTGACAGGGACAATATTTTTGCAAGTAGTAAATGTATGAATGTCATATGAAATGTGATCTGTTGCTCCAGTATCTAAGATCCAGAGATGAGATGACTTACCATTAGTGATGGAAGAGTGAGATGTCATGGCCAAAGGAGAGGTTGAAACAGAGTTGGCTTGGGATGAAAGCTTTGATTGTTGGAGCAATGCAAGGAGATTAGTGTACTGCTCTTGAGTGAACACACATGGAGAAGCCTTTGAATCCTCTGAAGATGAATCACATACAACATTAATGGTGGCAGCCTACTGATTTTTATTGTGAGGAATCTGAGTCTTGCTCTTGTTCTTGAAACCTGGGGGATAACCATGTTTGAGAAAACATGTTTCCACTGTGTGATTGGTTCTACCACAATGTGTGCAAACACGATTGTGGCCTCTAGGTGGTCCTGAAGGGTTGCCTTTGAGAGAACCATTTCCAGGTCTGAAGTTGGAATTGCCATAGTTAGCCTGAACTTGACAAGCAACATTCAATTCCTCAGGATTAGAGGATGCCTGAGCTAATGCAGAAGCTGAGCTATTCAACTCACGTTCCTGTTGAATGATTAAAGAAAAAGCTTTGTCTAGGTCAGGCAAGGGACTCATCATCATAATCTGCGATTTAGAATGAGTAAATTTCTCATTCAATCCCTTTAATAAACGAATCACTTGATCTTGGGCACGATACTGCTTG